TCTATCTTATAGAGAAACAGAAATCCTGGGTTCACGAATAAAGCAGTGGAACGTAGTGGATGATGACTTTAAAGTGACATTCACACGAAACTTAGACTTATCGTCATTCGAAGAAGTTTTTAATGCTGATGATATAGACAATAAACTTGTATATTGTGTTGATGTGGATGGATTGTTTGCTGCCTTCGATCACGTGTACTGCGCAAAAGATTGGCGATTATTTCTGGACGGTTCTTGCAAAAGTAAGTATTTTATTTATCATAAGTGTGAGAAAACCAAAATTAAGCAATATTAAAAAATTTACGTTTAATTCACGAAATTCGTAGGTCTGAAAGTAGTATTAATTCACAACGAGAATCAGTTGCCAACAGTTCCAATAGCATACGCTACTGATATGAAAGAGACGTATCAAACGATGGAAAAAATTTTACGATTAATCAATTACAATAAACATCAATGACAAATTGTCTCAGACCTCAAAGTTCTGACAATACTTCTGGGAATGCAAGGAGGCTACACTAAGCATCCGTGCTATTTCTGCGAATGGGACAGTCGTGCCAAGGATCCTTACAAGTGTAGCGTGTGGCCTCCGAGAAAGGGGTTTCAAATTGGAATTAAAAATGTTCTCAATATCCCATTAGTAAAACCTGATAACATTATCTTGCCGCCATTGCACCTAAAGTTGGGCTACATGAAACAATTTGTAAAACGACTCGACAAAAACAGCGAGTCATTTCTGCACCTGGAAACAGTTTTTCCCAAACTAAGTGATGCTAAAATAAAAGAAGGTACCTACTTTCGAAGAATTTGCCGACTATTAATTTTTTCGAAAACTCATCTGCAACCATTTTAATTCTTTACTTTACAGGCATTTTCATCGGACCCCAGATTCGCAAGCTGATGATTGATGAGAATTTTGTCGAAAAACTGAACGAAGTAGAAAAGAGAGCATGGCTGAGTTTTATCTCTTTATGTCATAACTATCTTGGAAATGAAAGAAGTTCTAATTATAAGGAAGTGGTTCAAGAGTGTTTGGAAGCTTATGGAGAAATGGGATGCAAAATGTCAATCAAGATACATTTTTTGCACTCTCACTTGGATTTCTTCCCGGATAATCTGGGTCAGTTTAGCGACGAGCAAGGTGAACGATTTCACCAGGAAATCTCGGCAATAGAAAAGCGCTTTGCTGGAAAAACCACGTTAAGATGATCGCTAATTACTGCTGGTCGCTCAAACGTGAAACCGACGACCTGTATTATAAGCGCAAAAGATCCAGGAAACATTTTTAATTCGAATTGGTTGAGGTATGTAGTTAGCGAGCATCTTAAAGTGGTTTATTTTTTGTATCTTGATTGACATTTTGCATCCCATTTCTACATAAGCTTCCAAAAGTAATTACCTAACATCTTAACCATTGTTAAACATTTCCCATTGTTTTGTATAAAGTGTTCTAATGAGTGCAAAATTTATGAAAAATATATATGTTATCAATCTAACTATCGCTAAAAACGACTGTTTGCTATCTAAAGGTTCACTTGCGCAGCCAAATTTATATTTTTGACTTAGAGTTAACATTAAATGAAGGCTGAAACTCGTACGGTTTAGACAACTTTTCAAATTAACATTGAGTTAAAAAGATAACTGGCTGTCGTGCAATGATTTTTTCATGTAAAATGCTAAAAATGGGGGTTTTTGTGAAATTTTTGTATGGGGAACCCCACAGGTGGGGTCTTAGGGGGGGGTTCCACTGGCATGGGTGGGTCGGCCCTACAAAGTTAGTGGGGGTCGGTCATACATTTAAATACGATTGGGACACTCTAAATGGGTCAACTTAGGATTTTTCAAGCTTTGGCGCTCAAGGTCAAAAGTACGAAGTCGGGACATCAGAATTGGTTTTAGAGGTATGCTTCCTTCGGCAAAGTATCTTATTTTGATCCCTAAAATACGATTTTCCTTGTCACTTGGGTGATTTTCAAATCGGCTCGCCTTCTAATACATAGTACCCCTGTAGGGCGCTTGAGACCAAAAAATTTGATTCTGGATTATGCTGCATATCTTGAAAACTTGAAGTCCTTTCCCAAAAAGAAACACTTGTGTAATTAAGTAGTGAATACCTCTCGATGACACATGCCCAAAGAAGTTCATTCATTGTCAATTAGTGGCAAAAAAATTACGTCGAAACCGGAAAAACCGAAAAAATTTTCAAAAAATTCAAATTCTCGCGTGAAAAACGTCTCATACCCCTCTCAAATGAACAAAACACTGTATATGTTTCGAAAGTGTCAACAATTCTCCGCCCAAAACCGTTGAGAATTTAAAAAACGGTTGAAAATAAAATTTTTAATGATTTTTTTTCAACGAAAACTCTGAAAAAACGGTTTTTTGGCCTTAAATCCAGATTTTGGGGGTGTTACAAATCCTTTGAAGGGTGTTTCGTGGATAACTCGACCAGATGAACAATCTATACTAGGTCGCTTCAAAAGTGTATTCAATTTTGTTTTTTTTGTAGCACTGTGTTATTATATATAATATAAATGACTTTAAAAAATTTATAAAAATAGGCAATAATATTTCTCATAGAAACAAATAAAATTAGGGGGTAGAGTCTGGAAGTTTCCAAAAGGCATTTCAAATGGGCTCCCTAATGTACAGATGTACATATACATACATTTGTATGTTTATATGAAACTAGCCGGCCACGGATACGTGAGGCTTCGCCACGCGCAGAATGTATGCATTTGTATGTATATTTGCGTGTATGCATTTGTATGTATATTTGCGTGTTTGGAGAAAGAAATCATATGTCATTATGTACTTCGTTTATTATATAAATAAAAAGTCTTGTCTAAATCCGTTCAGTAGCGTGGTTAAAACATCTAGCCTTTCCTTTATACTATGTATAGAAGATAGTAATTTTAAATAGGTGGCAACCCTACTCAAAAAACTTAAAGTTTTTATACATGCGAAGGCCATGCACTTTCATTTGGTATCTTATTTTTTTATCCAACGAACGGTGAAGATCTTATAGTTTTTAAACAGGTGGCAACCCTACTCAGAAAAATAATAGATTACTACACATCCAGAGGCTAAGTCTTTTCGTTTGACAGTGACGGTCAGTGCTTTTCTAAAACCCTAATAAAATTCTAAGTAAAAAAAGATCCCTCTCCTATCGATACAGAGTATATTAGAGAAAATCTCGTCAAAATCCGTTCAGTAGTTTTTGAGATTACCGCGTACAAAGAATCTCGACTTTTCTTTATACTATGTATAGATTACAAATGCTTTTACATTCAAAGCGAGA